TTGATCCATCTCTTCACCCACCACCTCGAGGGCCTTTTCCTCCAGGAGATATTTTTAATCAAACAGAAAGACCTTTTGGAACACCAGGAAGACAAAATATCGATAGCATTTCTAATCCAGAGAAAAGACTACCACTTGGAGGTGATAACATTTCGCAGGAGGGAGATAGAGATTATCGCTTTCCTCCAGTGGAAAACCGAGATAATCTTAACAGACCATCTCCAGTGGATGTCAGAGATTCTGTTGGGCGACCGCCAGTTGATCCAAGAGAGGGTATTGGAAGGCCTCCAGTGGATGGAAGAGAACACTTTGCAAGACCACATGTAGAAATGAGAGAAAATTTTGGAAGACCAGGTATAGATAACCTTGGCCGAAGAGAGCATTTTGGTTTCAATTCAGACAAGCATTGGGGACAGAGAGGAGATTACGATGAAAGAGAGCACCATGCCTTCCCTATTTATGGTGGCCCTAAAGGCTTCCATGAAGACAGAGAGAGGTTTCGGCATGTAAACTATAGGTTTGATAGTAGAAGTGGTCCCAATTGGAACAGAGGATTTGAACAAGATGCTCACAGAGATTTTGATGACCGCAGAAGACCCTGGGAAAGGCAGAGGGATAGGGATGACAGAGATTTTAATTTTTGCAGAGAAATTAATGGGAACAGGTTTGGAAGAGACAGAATGTCAAACAACTGGATCCCTCCTCCACATCCACGGGTTTTTGAATATTTTGATGGGGCCACTTCTCAACGCAAAGCTGATAATATGCCCCAGGTAAATGGTGAAAACACAGAGACAGAAAGTCAGCCACCAACTGCACAGGTGCAGGACGATCCAGAACTTTATGAAAAACTGACATCTTCCGTCGAGATAAACAAAGAGAAGAGTGACACAGAAGCTGATATAGAGAGTGAACCAGTGGTAGAAAGCACAGAAACTGAGGGGACATAATCATCACTCAGTAGGTAAAAGATACCTTTTGTAAAGTTGTCATCTCTCTGTAATAGATAAATGGCTGACTGGACCGTAGCAGTTCACTTTTGTCTGCCAGAATTAAGTTAATCTGATGTTCATGTTCATCTTTCACTTAAATAACTGTACAACTGACTTGTATAGAACACTGTTCTTAATTTGAACATGGTAGGTAAACGTTTTTTGGTTTTGTTTTGGTTTTTTTTATTTTATTTTTCTGGTAAAGCATAAACTTGCCCCCACTTGCTTTTAATTTCACAAAGATAAATTAACAGCTTGTCAAACAAAGACTTCCTATGGAAGAAAACGAAAATTTTTAGATACTACCCTTAGGTTGGCTATCGAAATTGTTATACTTGAAAACAGGTGCTGGTGTATCTTGTCCGTGGTTTTAGGCTGCTGCAGAATTTTAAAGTATAGACAAAGCTGTGATATTTTATGTTCCTACAATTCGGCAGTAAAAGAAATGGCCCATGTTATTTAAGGAGCATAACACAGAGATTAAAAGTGGTTTTGTAAAATCTACACTATAGTCTCTGTTTTCTCTAAAGTAAGTGTTTGTGATTTGTTCCTCGTACTGCAGTGGGTTTAAAAAAATGAAAAAATACATTTTAATGTTGGGTGCATTTTGTTTTTAGATGCCAATAAAACATATTTGTTTGATAACAGTGTTCTAGGTATTGTATTTTTTTTAAAAACCTGCAAGCTCTAAAAACTTGTAGTCAGCTATGATATGTGCTTAGCCAGTTGTTGCAAAAGGTTTATATTACTTTTGTAAAACCAATGCAACAGTTATATGTGCAAGAAGCATAAGGTTTTTACATCAAAAATCATGCAGTCATTAGTTTATGTAAATAACATATGTATGTAAATACCTGTGTAAACTGTTTGTAGATACCACTTTTTCTGTGTGTGCCTGTGTATGTGCACGCACTCACAGAATCCTGTAGGCAGTTCAATAAAACTGAAATGAAACTAGGTTGTAGAATTTGCCTTTCACCTTCTTTAGGTAGTAAGATAACAGAACTTATTTCACTGCAGTACTGTCAAGTTCATTGTTACAATATTCTTACTGCTTTTAGAAGGTGGAACATGATATACTGTAAGAATATACAGTAGGATTTTAGCTTTTTCAAATGCAGATAAGCATGAAGCCAAAACTTAAGCAAGTATTTGCATTGTCTTATTTTGTAATATATTTAGTATTCTGGATAGATAGTGGTAGTGTTCAAGTACTTCGTGGTTATTTGTTTTTAGTGACTCACAGTCCAGAAATGTTGCACGAAAAGTAAAAAGCTGTTGTTGGTCTAAAAATCCTACATGTTTTTAACAGAAATAAGGGGACTTTGTGTTTTGATGGATTAACATTGAAGTAGAAGTCTTTTTAAATTGATGAGATGAATAGACTGCTTAGGTAAATTAGTAGTGCTATTCTCTCCTTTTTCACCTACTTTGCTGCTTGTGTATCCTTTCAATTGGTGGTGAAAGATTTGGTGGTAGGGAGGTGTCAGATTTTCAGTTTGTTCCACTCAAGTGCATTTCACCAACTTTCAACAAAATTATGTGTCTGAAAGCATCCTTTCACTCAGTTATAAGTTGTTTTTCTCTTGTATAATAAGATTCAGGGGTAGATTCTATTACATGAATGTCCCTTTGGAAGAAGAAACATTTTGAGTTCAGATTAGAATTTTGATCTTTAAAGCATGAACATGCAAGTTTTAATTCCCCTTCTGCTTCCCTCAAAGGAATGAAAGTATGAAAACATCATGTGAGTGTAAAGCATACGCATACCTTTGAACCTAGAAGCAAGTTACACGTGTGTGTTGTCCTCTTCCTCTGGGAGGTGGGGTATGTTTTCATGCTGTGTCATGGTTCGGTTTTTCAGTTACAGGACTTTTATTCTGGATAGTGAGCAGACAGTTTAATGAAGGTAGCCCTTTGACAGAGTGGACTTGAACGAATTAATATCTACTGTGCAAGTAGAAGTCATTAGGTATGCATTAAATAACTATTGCTTGGTAATAGCCCTTGCTGATATGTTTATTACCAGAACATGTCTTGGGAGTTCACGAGCAATGTTTGGGGTGAAAGGACTTTATACTGAGGGCAGTTTCTGGCTCAAAGAACTTGACCCATGCTGCTGCACCACCCATTAGTGGTCAGGTGGATATGATTGTGTGAGAGTCCCAAAGCACAAAATAGCTCTAAGGATGTTTTATGACCTTAAGGGATTTGATTTCATTTTCATATATGCAGTTTGAAAAGGCTTCAATCATAGGCCACATAAATAGATACTCAAAATCAAACACATATTGGCAGTAGCTTTACTTTTTAAACATTTTGTTAAATGATTCCTTAAAAGTTAATCTCTTTTTCTTCTACTAAACTGGGACTGGCACTATGCCAAATTGTTCATAGTATGATGATTTAGTTAAATTACCAGGTGAGAGGTATCACTTGTTTAGGTTGGTAGTGGTATAGAACAATGTATTTATCAAATCTATGACCTTTGTTAATCCCTTCCAAACATTAATAAATTGGCTACTGTACATATGTGTTACACCACCAACTTCTAACTGCGATTTTTTTGGGTAGAATAGAAGTTTGTTGTACAGTCTTCAGTTGCATCATGTTTACAGCTAGAACTGTTACATTTCTTATTAATGTAGCATGCAGACAAATATTACCAGATCCAGCCATATTTAGAAACTCAGAAGGGACTTTATAGTGTGGTTTCTTTATCTTGCCAGTAGGAAGTTTTAAATCTCTCAAGAGTTGGAGTGAAGACTTCCCTTTTTCACTGTAAGCCAACACATGCACTGGAAGGAACTGTCCTGAGACCCAGACCAGGTTTTTGATGTGGTTAATGGGAGTGACTGGTATTTTTTGCTGATGCAAAGACAAGAGTGGGAATGGGACAGAGAGAACATAAGGGCCAGGCATTTGGGCAGCAGTTCTCGTTTATGCCTGTTTAAAGCTTGCTGTAGTGATGAAAGGTTTTTGATTCTAGCAACTGGAGGAGCTGATCTACGATTCATATAAGTAACATACATATTGGAAAATACTTCAGGTAGCTTTGCAGGCAGCACAGTGTATTTAGGCATGCACATTTACTTGGAAGCCTTATGCATCAATAAGTTGTTTCATGTATTTACTTTTTTTAACAGGCTGTGATTCTGATCTTTCACTGTACTGCATTTGAATAGAATGCTGCATCCATAAAGATGAAACTTAGCCTTCATTTGCTGTAAGGACACGATTTCTTTGCTGGAGCTTTTTTCTGTGAAATGTCGGTACATTTCATTTTTATGTGTAGTGGTTTGTGTTATTACAGACGCAAAGGAATAGATTCTCTTCGATTCCTTTGCTTCAGTAGAGCACTATACCATACTTCGAGCCATTTCAGTGACTTAATGACTTTATGAAGTTAAGGAACTCTTAGCCTGAATAAGGCAGGATGGGGTACTGTAATCAAGCCTGTAGTGTGGCATGCACAAGCATTACTTAAGCATAGTTCAAAAATTATCAAATAAACTGTCTGTAAAAGGTATTCATAAGGTAAGCCAATTTATTGCAGAAATCTCTCAAATTACACTTCCAGCAGTTTTGCACATGTGCAAGGAGATGTTATACTGGTCAACACTGAAATTACTCATTTCCTTGACTCATGTTCCCCTAACTTAAATCTTTGGGTAATTTGATTTGAAACGGATAGAAATGAATCCCAGATTTCATTCTCTGTCTTTTCAGTAATGCATTTTAAAATAATATCATAATAGGGGTGATTTTTTTGTCGGTCAGTAATGTGAGCTGAACAGATAGAATCATAGAATGGATCAGATTGGAAGGGACCCTAAAGATCATCTAGTTCCAACCCTCTGCCATGGGCAGGGACACCTTCCACTAGCCAAGGTTGCTCAAAGCCCCATCCAACCTGGTTTTGGCCACTTCCAGGGATGGGGCAGCTACAACTTCTCTGGGCAACCTGCACTGCATGACAGATTAAACCAAAGTCTATATCTGATCTAAACCTGCTCTCTTTCAGTTTAAAACCATTGCCTCTTGACTTATCACTACATGTCCTTGTAAAAAGTCACACTCCAGATTTATGATTTTAAAACCTATTCAGGTTATCAGTAGTCATCAAGAGTAACTAGGACAATTTTTTCATATTGTAATTCATGTTATTAAAGAATCTTTCCCTTTTTGTTATCGTTAATTCAGGTACAAAGGATCTTTCTTTTCCTGTTGACATCTAGTGCTGATTCTTTCGAATTTTACAGTAGTCACATTTTCCTTTCAAGCATTGAGCTTTCACAAGTAAGCATGTACTGTTAAGCCATTTACTGGTCTAGGTGAGAGATTGGTTTAAAAGGCATAAAGGCAGGATATTATTTTATAATTTGAAGCTCTTTATTTGAAAAAGAATGACACCATGTTGCTTTACTGTAATTCATTTGCAGCAGCAGAAAGCTTTGCAGTGACAAAGAGACTATTATACTGCAAGATTTTCAATTGTACCTAGTATGTTTTTTTTCTTGAAGGTTGTCTTACTGATGTTGTTCACTCTACTTAGTCTGTACAAGTTCTTTGGGTGCACAATAAACATAATCTTATTAATGTTTGCACATGATGTTTCGTAGTAAGGAAAAGTCAAGTAGAGCTGCTAAAAAGAAAAATGATCTTTCTTTAACAGCTTCCATATAGGATCTGAAAAGTGATTCTTATCAGTGACAAAAGTCTATTAATAGGGTTTTTGTTAAAGTTGGTAAGCTCTAAAATTGTACTTGCCATAATTCTTGTATTCCTTTCTATCTTGCACAAACTTGATGAAAAATGGTAGTCTCATCCTACTCTTAGTATCTTTTAGATGCTCTGCTACCAAAGATTAGAGGTGGGAAAGGATTAGCGGACTGAGCACTCTCAAAAATCAAGAGGTTGTTAAGATAGGTTGTGCAGTTGAAGATGAATGTATTTTCTCTTTTAAGGAGTTTAAAATGCACATTTCAGCACTTCCATGGTAAAAGTGATTTTAGTGGTGTCCATGGTGGTTTAATAATCTTACTGTGTACTTTGTAATTTTTCTTATAAAGTTAACTCACTAGTGCTAATTTTAAAACTTTGTGTCAGATTAAATCATACTAGTGCTCCCAACAGGGACTGTTTCGTGCTTTGCAAAAACAATTATCTGGTCAGAGAGTGTTTTCACTTCAAAGTAGGTTAGTTGAACACTTTTTCCCTCCCCAATTTAATGTTTTAATGCTGCAGTTTCCTCTTGAATGATTTTCTGTGTACATGTCTGTGTCATAATGGATATGTGTTCGCATTAGTATGTATCAAGCTTTCTGTTGAAATGCAGAAAAATTGTGAGAATGTTTAAGGTAGCTGACTTGATGTGTATCTAGAACTAGGGTAAACTTCACAAGCATATTAATTTGTATACTTGAGCGTTATAATTGTGCTGAAGCATTCTAACTGCATGCAGGCTGGTGCAAGGAATCCCTACTAGGTGAAGATGGATATAGAACTGTTAACTCAGATGTAGATTGGTAGGATTCACATAAGCCATAGCAGCAAGGACTTTGGATCTGATTGTCACTTCCACACTAAAGGAGAGATCATATTATAAGTAATGTAGCTTTTTTTCTTGGTAACAGTAG